ATCTGAAATAGATTTGAAAGAGAGACAGAACTTCAGGCTACTTCCCCAGTAATTCTCTCAATTTGGAAGAAAGGGCTACACTAGTGGTTCAACAGCATCTCTATGATTTCATGTGGTTCTGTTTCATGTTTGTGCACTGTGCTGCTGGGTATACAGCATATGCCCCCAGGTGCTCAGCAGTGAAAAATGCCTGAGGATCACAATCTAGCCCAATCCTTATTCTACAGATGAGGGGGAAAGTACAATTGCTATAGCCTGATCCTCTCGATACTGCTCCACACAGTATACAAGGGAGTTTTGGTTTATTTCCTATTCATATGCTCAGGCTCTTGCTAAACCGAGTTACTTGAGACTGCCCACACTTTACTATCAGTGCCTGCTGCTCCCTCCCGCTCCCTCCCTCAATCTGCCTGTCCTTACTCTCTCCATGTGCCCATCCAGGAAGCATACGCCCACACCAATCCCCTTAAACGGGGTATATAATCTCCCCTCCTTTAAATGTCCACTGCACTTTGTACCTTGCTTATAGAAATCAGAAATTATACTAAAAAGATATTAAGATGACACTGGTGGGAATATTGTCAAACCAGTGACAAATTATGTTTCAGGTAAATCTATGGTTCATTCATAGCATCTCTGCCACTGATCTCTGCTGTCACAATCCTTAGAGGACAAAATCATTAACTCTCCCAGGATAACACCAGGGTTTTTGTTTTATGAAGTCATCAGAGATTCCAGCTTTCAAAATTCCAGGTAAGTATTCTCAGAAGCCGCACACAAGATGAGACTGAAACATAAAAACCACTCTGTTTTAAATATAATTTCTTAAAATTAGCAAATGCTTAATTTCAAAGTGCTGTCAGAACTTTACCAAACGCTGACTGAAAACACTTTCCATACAATCCTTCTCAGTAAATTGGCAATGTCATAAAACCTACAGGCTGACGCAATTCTAAATTTAAAAAGTAAAAATAAATTATTCAAAACATTATTCAGCCATATGCCTTTAGCTTAAGCAAAACTAGGTGACTTCGATTTTATACTAAAAAGTTATCCTTACATTTTTTCCATAAAAGGAAAACAATCTTCAATGAATAAACCTTTCAAGACTTTAGTAATGTCAACTTATATCTTTGCATTAAGTTATATTACCTACAAAATACTGAGTTATTTCTTATATTAGGAGTTATTTCTTATGTTAGAAATGTCACATTGTCAGTACTTAAGCCAACACTGTAAACTATAAAAATTAATCAAATTACTCTAAATTACCAATAAAGTAAATTCCTCTTTCAGCCTTCACTGTACAACAGGATTGAAAGTCACCAATCATACTTCATTATGTGTTATTGGACTATTTTTAACCAGTTCTAAAACTTTTTTTTCTTCCATCTACACATTTACCTGACAGCCTTCCCCCAGGGAAATACAGACTATAAACCAATGAAACTAGTACTTAGCCGAAACAACTCACTGCCATGCATCGTTAGCCATTCGAGGCAAGTGGGCATGGCAAGTGGGCATGTTCTAAACATTTAGAACTCAACATGCCACTTGGAGGGGGTGGTGGGTGAGGGGCGGGGAACTTAGAGGATGGGACAATAAGTGCAGCAATTCACCATGGCACACATATACCTATGCAACAAATCTGCACATTCTGCATATGTATCCCGTTTTTTTTTTCTTTGTAGAAGAAATAAGGGGAAAAAAGTCACATCCATCGTACCATAATCTTAAAAAATAATGTGTTGCAAAAGGCAAGACATCCAAATTAACATCACAGCCAATAAAGGAAAATGCCTGGCAAGCAATATGAAATAGCAAGTCAAAAAAAAAAAATAACTCTTGCAATGAAAAACATTCACTGATCAAACTGTTCATCAAAACCCAGTTAGAAAAAAACAAAAAACAAAAACTAATTAGACCAATTTTTAATTTCCTAAATCCAAAGATTTAGGAGTTATGACACCCACCGCAAAATTATCAAAGCTTCATCTATTATAAGTTCTCATCTACTAACAATTAATCCAACCAATCTTTGATGAGCACCTGCTAGGTGCCAAACACTGTTATAGGAGCTGCAGGTGGAATAAGCTCAATATCTGTCTCTAAGGAGTTAATAATTCTGTACAAAGAAGGACAAATAGACATCTGGTAGGCTACAACTATCATTAAGAAAAACAAAAAGTTGGTCGGCCAGGCTCAGTGGCTCACACCTGTAATTGCAGCTCTTTGGGAAGGGGGGCGGATATCACCTGAGGTTGGGAGTTCGAGACCAGCCTGACCAACATTGTGAAACCCCATCTCTATGAAAAATACAAAGTTAGCCAGGTGTGGTGGGGCATGCCTTTAATCCCAGCTACTCAGAAGACTGAGACAGGAGAATCATTTGAACCCGGGAGGTGGAGGCTGCGGTGAGCCAAGATCACCATATGTACTCTAGCCTGGGCACTAAGAGCAAAACTCTGTCTCCAAAAAAAAGAAAAAAGAAAGAAAGAAAGAAAAAAGGAAAACAAAATGTCAGGCCAGTGCCGTGGCTCACGCTTGTAATCCCCGCACTTTGGGAGGCCGAGGTGGGTGGGTCATCCGAGGTCAAGAGTCCCAGAGCAGCATGACCAACGTGAAGAAACCCCATCTCCACTAAAAATACAAAATTAGCTGGGCGTGGTGGGACATGCTTGTAATCCCAGCTACTTGGGAGGCAGGAGAAGAATCTGAACCCGGAAGGCAGAGGCTGCAGTGAGCCGAGATCACACCATTGTACTCCAGCCTGGGCAACAAGAGCAAAAACGCCATCTCAAAAAAAGAAAAACAAAATGTCACAAAAGTATCATAATAAATTTTTTTAAATGACACCTAGCTACAGATTGTAATTTAAGTCAGCATATGCACAGTTATCAATCCTATATACTATTTGTTAGGCCTTCAAATAGGACTTAAAGTTAGCTGAACTGTCCTGCCAAAATGTCAGCTCTGTCTAATCAGAAACACTTCCTCCAGGGGTGTATGCAATTCAGTCTCCATGTTTCAATTATCGGTTCTGTGTACAAAGAAGACCAACAAGTGATCTCTCAAAGTATTATTACCATAAAAGGTGTACTAGGCCAGGCACGGTGGCTCACACCTGTAATCCCAGCACTTTGGGAGGCCAAGGTGGGCAGATCATGAGGTCAGGAGTTTGAGACCAGGCTGGCCAACATGGTGAAATCCATCTCTACTAAAAATACAAAAATTAGCCGGGCATGCTGGCAGGTACCTGTAATCCCAGCTGCTCAGGAAGCTGACAGGAGAATCACTTGAGCCCAAGAGGTGGAGGTTGCAGCGAGCCATGATCGCGCCATTGCACCCCAGCCTGGGCGACAGAGCAAGACTCCTTCTCAAAAACAAAACAAAACAAAAAAATGTGCTAAAATTAAGTTGGCAAGAATCTGCATGTAGTCCTTTCTACATCTAAGACATAAATACCTGACACTTGATTCATTCCCTTCATTCTCCATACAGCCCCCCCACCCCCACAGGCCGGGCAACCATTCTGACCATCAGACAAAAGAAATTACCTTTCTTCAGTTTATGTTAGGACAACTCACGTGGGTTTACATTTGGCTTAATATACTACTACTCTACTTCTCCAATAAGTAGGCATTTATAAAAAACAGAAACTTCTCAATTTAACCACTTCTACTATCCAAGTCTCTCTGAGAAAGACATGACACGCCTTAATTCAAGGAAAAAGGTCCTTTTTCCTCACAAATATTTCCTCATAACTTTATTTTTCAAATGCTTTTAAAACCAGATTCCAATTTAATTAATCTAAATTTGCAAAATTATAAAGGAAAAGTCTTGCCAGTTGTTGCTTTGGTTATGTTAATTTCACAATTTAATAAATTGCAACTACGTATTTAATACAAAGCAGTCTTTTGGAGGAGGGTGAAGGGTTTTTAACAAAACGCATCTCAGCACCAGCCTAGAGAAACTTTCTGTGAGAAAACAGAAGAGGGGTTACCATGGAGAAATTCATTACGGATTACTGTGAGGGCTTTTTCCTCAGAAATAGAGTGAAAAGAAAAAGTCGTCGTGTAATAAATCTGATACTGATGCTACATGACTTAGAAAAAAGTTCATCTTCGGCAATTATGTCTAGATGATCAACTACACATCTTCTGCAACAGGTGACACGAAACTGCATTTCCCAAGTCAGGCAAAGCGATCAAATGAGTTAAGACGTGCGTTCCTGCGGTTTTGTACTTTTATTTTTGACTTAACCAAAACAATTTTGAATCGGATGAATTACCAAATTTGGTTGGGTCTTGTTTGGCTTTCTGCTTTGCTTTTTCATCAGCCATCTACCAGCAACTGTTGCATGAGCCCATTAGCACTCGAAGAATAAAAACAAACACACAGGACCAGATAAGGTTCCCCTACTAACCCAAATGATCCGTTTCCTTAACACAATTTTAAAACCACAGCTAGGGGTGTGAAAACAGGCATGTTTTTGTGTGTGTTTGTGTGCCACAATCTGCCCAAATCCTTAATTCCCTTTTAAGTAACAGATATAAAATAAAAATCCGAAAGAAACCACATTAGAAATGCAAAGAGGTTTGCAAAACAAGAGGCTTCTTTCATTCCAGAAAACCACACCAAAACAAGGGAAGAAAAATGAATGCAATGGATACGTGTCTGCCAAAGTTTCAATCCTGTCCGGTGGAGACATTGCACTGGCACAAATTTTGAAGAGGAAAAAGAGGGGGTTGTGGGGGAGAGAGAGCAAGCGAGTGTGGCCTGCAAACTGCAACAATGCAATCTCCATTTTGAACAATGCGCCTCTTTTCTCTTGTAAATCTAGTTTTTTGCCACTTGATGTGCCGTCGCATTTCCCCTCTGTTTGGGGGGGAGGCGGGGTTGGGGGGAGATCGGAGCAGGATGCACAGCACACGAGTGAGCAAGGGGGGAGGGCAGAGGAGGTGGGGAAGGAGTCTGCAGCAACTGGGCTGGGTGGGTACCTGGAGTGCTGCTGTAGGTACTATGGCTCCTGAAGCTGCTTTCCGTGCAGTAACTGGCGTCGTCGTCGTCGTCTTCCATCTCCTCCGGATAATCGGAGTCATCGTCGTCCTCCTCCATCTCATCCTCCTCGTCGTCCTCAGAATCCTGGGTCTCCTCGGCGTCGCCGTCCTCCTCCTCCTCCTCCTCCTCGGAGACCATGTCCTCCTCTTCCTCCTCCTCCTCGCTCTCGTGGTCATCGTACACCACTTTGTTGACGGCCCTCCGGGCCGCGGTGGTCCGGGCCAGGTGGCCGCCGCCCCCGCCCCCCGTCCTGCCTCCCCCGCCTCCTCGCCCCCCCCCGGCCCGGGGCGCTGGTGCTGGGGGGGGCCGGCGGCGGCGGCGGCGGCTTCCTCCGGCTACTGCTGCCCCCCCTGGGCGAGCTCAGCCGCGTCTTGGGCGCCACCTCAGCCTGGGCGGCGGCCCACCTGCCCCGGCTACTGCCGCGGTGCCGCGAGCGGAGCCCCCCGATGGGTCCGGACGTGGGCGGCGGCGGCGGTGGCGGCGGGGCCGGGGCGCAGCGCTCCGCAGCGGGAGCCGCGGGCTGCTTGGGCGGCCTGCCCCGCCGGCCCCTCATGTCGGAGCCGAGGCGGGGGGAGAAGGGAAAGCGGAGGGGGAGGGGCGGGCGCAGGGGGGGCGGTGGGGAGCGCCGGGGCCGGGTGGGGAGGCCCGCGGAGCCGGGCGGGAGGGGCCCGGCCGGCGGAAGCGGGTGGAGGGAGAAGGCTCAATCCGAATTGCTGGGGCCCCACTCCGGATCGCCTTCAGCCGCCATCTTGTTTCTTCCCTCTCGCTCGGTGACTGGGGGAACCGACAGCGGCCGCAGGCCCGGAGCGCGGTCACGTGAGCTGCGCCGCCGACGAGCCTGGGACGGAGCGAGGCGGCGCAGCGGCCGCTAGGGGGAGCGCGGGAGCGCCGAGTCGGGGGCGGGGAGCACTGGGCTTTCTGGGGTAGGCGCAGCTCAGCGCAGCTGGACTTCGGGCGCGGGTGGCGCGGCAGAGAACGGGTGCGCAGCTCGCGAAAGGCCCCTGTGTCAAAGGCCTTCGGAGACCACAGTCTCCGCGGACCCCTGGCTGGAGCCCAGAGCCTGCCGGACCTCCTCCTCGCGTCTCCCCTTCCGCGGTTCGGAGGGGAAGGCAGGAGAGCCCCCAAATATCATTCCCCTCCCGGCCCCCTAGAGAAACTGATGCTGAAGGAGCCAGAGAAAAAGAAAAAAAAAGTCTCGGAGCGGGGCGGCCCGAGCGACCGAGGACACTGGGCAGCGCCACCGACGGAGGGAAATTAGTCCAGGGGACAGGGAGACAAGCCCCCAGAATTTAGGAAACTCCTTAGCTTGGAGCTGGAGCCCTGAAATTGACTCGTTAGACCACTGCTCCCTGCTGTGCCAGCAGCCACGCCCCGGGCTGCCACGCCCGGAGGGAGGGGCGCTTTAAGGCCTATTCCGTGGAATCCCCACTCGGAAAACCTCAGGAAACTCCAGAACGCAACTACTGCACGTTCCAATCTCCCGCCACCCTCCCAGTGCCCCAGCAAGGACCTCGACCACCTCAGCAAGAACTTCCCTCTCCTCTGCAGTGGAAAACGAAATCCTGCCTAAAACCTACTTCACGGTGTAATGTTTGTATTATCGGGAAATAACTTGATTTATTTACCTGACAAGTCACTAGGTGTTCAGCTTAGCCCAGGGGACGAATCATGATGACATTTCAGGCACCCTCAAACCTTATCACAGGGACTAAACCCTGAGTGGTTGAGGGCAGCTCTTCAGGTAAGAGGTTTTATAAACATACTAATATTTGAGATAAGTGAAAACCAAAAAGTAATTTAAAGAAAAATAGTTGGCCTGGGTCAGTAGCTCATACCTGCAATCCCAGCCCTTTGAGAGACCGAGGCCAGAGGATAGCTTGAGGTCAGGAGTTCGAGACAACCCTGGGCAACATATCAGGACCTCGTCTCTAGAAAAAATTTGAAAAATTAGCCGGGCATGGTGGTGTGCCCCTGTGGTCCCAGCTACGTGAGAGGCTGAGGTGGGAGGATCGCTGGAGCCTGGGAGGCGGATGTTGCAGTGAGCAGTGATTGCACCACTGCACTCCAGCCTGTCTGATAGAGCAAGACCCTGTCTCAAAATTGAAAAAAAAAAAGAAACAAAAATACCTAACAGGATTTCTGTCCACCAAATGGTTATTTCAATCTCGGCGTCGCCTTCCTCCTCCTCCGAAACCATGTCCTCCTCTTCCTCCTCCTCCTCCTCCCTCTTGTGGTCATCATACACCAAATGTGAACACATTTCTGTTCACAATTGTGTTCACATTTGTGAAATTTTTCACATGTGAAATTTGTGTTCACATATGTGAAATGAAAATTAAAATACAAGCACTAATTGCCAAATATATGCATTCAGTACAGTTTGGTTGAACTTCAAAAGTGACAAATATGTATGTGTCTCCAGAGACCAGGTAAGTAACGTAAGTCAATAAAGTAGGCAAGATGAAGACTTAGGCCAATGGAAGTGACTGTATTTTGTTTGAAGAGGGTGGCTCAGGCGTGTAATCCCAGCACTTTAGGAGGCCAGGCGGATGAATCACTTGAGCCTAGGAGTTGGAGATTAGCCTGGGCAACATGGTGAAATCCTGTCTACTAAAAATACAAAAATTAGCTGGGCGTGGTGGCGGGTGCCTGTAATCCCAGCTACTTGGGAGGCTGACAGGAGAATCACTTGAACTCAGGAGGCAGAGGCTGCAGTGAGCCAAGATCGTGCTACTGCACTCCAACCTGGGTGACACAGCAAGATTTGTCTCAAAAAAAAAAAAAAAAAAAAATGATAGTGAGGAAGTGAGAATTTTATTTGGAGACACATAAATTGAAACTTTAAATATGTATATATCATCCCAGTGATTGTGGCTCACTGCAACCTCCTGAGCTCAAGCGATCCACCCACCTCCCTCCCAAAGTGCTGGTTTTATAGACCACAGCCAGCCACCCTCTTTAAACAAAATACAGTGCCAGGGCTGGGTGTGGTGGCTCATTCCTGTAATCCCAGCACTTTGAGAGGCCAAGGCAGGTCAACATGGCAAAAACCCGTCTCTGCTAAAAACTAGCCATGCATGGTGGGGCGCCAGTAGTCCCAGCTACTTGGGAGGCTGAGGCAGGAGAATTGCTTGAACCCAGGAGGTGGAGGTTGCAGTAAGAGGAGATCACGCCATTGCACTTCAGCCTGGGCGACAGAGCGAGACTCTTGTCTCAAAATAAATAAATAAATAAAAATGTGCACTTCCATTGGCCAAAGTCCTCATCCTGCTCTACTTTATTGACTTTCATGACTTATCTGGTCCCTGGAGGCATATACACATTTGACACCCTTGGGGCTCAATAAAATTGTATTGAATACATTTATTTGACACTAGTGCTTGTATTTTTTCATTTCACATAAGTATTCTATTTTCCTAACTAGATTGAAAGAAGCCGCTGGGCGTGGTGGCTCATGCCTGTAATCTTAGCACTTTGGGAGGCTGATCACCTCAGGTTACAAGTTGGAGACCAGCCTGACCAACATGATGAAACACAGTCTCTACCAAAAGTACAAAAAGTAGTTGGGCGTGGTGGCAGGCGCCTGTAATCCCAACTACTCCAGAGACTGAGACAGGAGAATCACTTGAACCCAGGAGGTGGAGGTTGCAGTGAGCTGAAATTGTACCACTGCACTCCAGCCTAGGCGACAGAGTCAGACTCTGTCTCAGAAAAGAAAAAAAGAGGCTGGGTGTGGTGGCTGACGCCTGTAATCCAAGCACTTTGGAGGCCAAGGCGGGTGGATCACCTGAGGAGTTCAAAACCAGCCTGACCAACATGGTGAAACCCCGTCTTTATTAGAAAAAAGAAAGAAGCCGGGCGCGGTGGCTCAAGCCTGTAATCCCAGCACTTTGGGAGGCCGAGGCGGGTGGATCACGAGGTCAAGAGATCGAGACCATCCTGGTCAACATGGTGAAACCCCGTCTCTACTAAAAATACAAAAAATTAGCTGGGCATGGTGGCGCACGCCTGTAATCCCAGTGACTCAGGAGGCTGGGGCAGGAGAATTGCCTGAACCTGGGAGGCGGAGGTTGCGGTGAGCCGAGATCGCGCCATTGCACTCCAGCCTGGGTAACAAGGGTGAAACTCTGTCTCAAAAAAAAAAAAAAAAGAAAAAAGAAAGAAGCCATTTGGTGGACAGAATCAGAATCCTGTTAGGTATTTTTCTTTAATTTTCTTCTCTCTCTCTCCTTCCTTCCTTTTCCCTCCCTCCCTCCCTTCCTTTCTTCCCTTCTTTCTCTCTCTTCCTCCCTCCCTCTTTCTTTCTTTCTTTCTTCTTTCTTTGTTTCATTTTGAGACAGACTCTTGCTCTATCACCCAGGCTAGAGTGCAGTGGTGTAATCGCAGCTCACTGCAACGTCCACCTCCTCCCAGGCTCAAGCAATCTTCCCACCTCAGCCTCTCGTGTAGCTGGGACTACAGGTGCACACCACCATGCCCGGCTAATTTTCAAATTTTTTCTACGGATGAGGTCCTGCTATATTGCCCAGGCAGGTCTCAAACTCCTGGACTCAAGCTATTCTTGGTCTCTCAAAGGACTGGGATTCCAGATGTGAGCCACCACATCTGGACTATTTTTCTTTAAATTACTTTTTGGTTGTCACTTATTTAAATAAATATTAATATGTTTATATTGCACTCCAGCCTAAGTGACAGAGCAAGACTGCCTATATTTTTATCAATCTGTAGCGTTTTGTTCTGTCTCAGAACAAAACGCTACAGATTGATAAAAATATAGGCAGTCTTGGCGGGGCAAAGTGGCTCACGCCTGTAATCCCAACATTTGGGAGTCCAGGGTTGGGGGATCTCCTGAGGTCAGAAGTTTGAGACCAGCCTGACCAACACGGTGAAACCCCGTCTCCACTAAAATACAAAAATTAGCTGAGCGTGGTGGTGTGCACAGGCAATCCCAGCTACTAGGAAGGCAGGAAAATCGCTTCAACCTGGGAGGTAGAGGTTGCAGTGCGCCAAGATTGCACCACTGCATTCCAGCCTGGATGACAGTGAGATTCCATCTCCAAAAAAATAAATAGGCAGTTTGGATAAAGCCTAGAGTCTACCAGTTTGCAACAAATATCCTAAATAGCATGTAAAATGCGGTGTACTGCGAGGTGCAATGGCTCAACCTGTAATTCCAGCCCTTTGGAAGGCCAAGGTGGGAGGATCACTTGAGCCCAGCAGTTTGAGGCAACCTAGGGAGATACCCATCTCTAAAATAAAATAAAAATACAAAATGCTATGTACTATAGGGAATACAAAGATATTAGAAGTGGGAAAACCCTTCAAAATTTATAATACTAGAGGAAAACTATTTACAAAAATATACAATAGATGGCATAAGAGGCGTTTTGTATAACTTTTTTTTTTTTTCAAGAAAGGGTTTTGCTCATCACCCAGGCTGGAGTGCAGTAGTGCAATCTTGGCTCACTGCAACCTCCACTTCCCAGGCTTAAGCCATCCACCCACCTCAGCCACTTAAGTAGCTAGGACTGCAGGCACCTGCCACTATGCCCAGCTAATTTTTGTATTTTTCTTTTACTAGAGACAGGGTTTCACCATGTTGGCCAGGCTGGTCTCGAACTCTTGGCCTCAAGTGATCCAGCTGCCTCAGCCTCCCAAAGGGCTGGGATGACAGGCGTGTACCACCACACCTGGCCTTTGTATAACAAGAGTGTTTAGGCCGGGTGCGGTGACTCACGCCTGTCATCCCAGCCCTTTGGGAGGCCGAGGCAGGCTGATAA